GCGACTTGATTTGTGAACTAATATGTGATCTATCCTGGAGAATGATCAATGAGTTGATGAGAAGAATGAATATTCTGTGGTTGTTGGATGGAATGTTCTGTAGGTATCTGTCATGTCCAATTGGTCTAGAGTATTGTTTAGATCTTGTGTTTTTCTGCTGATTCTTTGCCTGGATGATCTGTCCAATATTGACAATGGGGTGTTCAGGTCCCCTACTATTATGGTATTAGTGTCTATTTCCTTCTTTAGGTCTAATAGAGTTTGTTTTATAAATCTGGCTGCTCCACCATTGAGTGTGTATATATTTATGATTGTTATGTCTTGTTGATGGATCGATCCTTTTATCATTACGTAGTGTCCCTCATTGTCTCTTTTTATGGTTTTTAGTTTAAAGTCTATTTTATCAGATATAAGAATAGCTACTACAGCTCACTTTTCTTTTCTGTTTGCATGGTAAATCTTTTTCCATCCTTTCACTCTTAGTCCATGTGAGTCTTTATGGGTGAGCTGGGTCTTTTGAAGGCAGCATTTAGTTGGGTCCTCCTTTTTAATCCAGTCAGCCAGTCTGTCTTTTGATTGGGGAATTTAATCCTTTTACATTAAGAGTTGTTATTGAAAACTGTTGATTTATTCCTAGCATTTTATTGATTATTGTTTGGTTGTCTTAGGTGTCTTTTGTTCCTTGCTTTCTGATTTACTGTTTGTTTTCTGTATTTGTTTGTTCCTTGGGTTGTAGATAGCCTTTTTATTTGTTTGTTTGTTTGTTTTCTCTTCGTGAATGCCATTTGTATTATACTAGTGGGTTTTGATTTTTCTTGGGTTTTTATGGTAGTGGTAGTTATTTTTCAGGAACCAAAGCCAGTACTCCCTTAAGAATTTCTTGTAAGGCTGGTCATGTGGTGGTGAACTCCCGCAGTTTTTGTCTGTCTGAGAAATACACTATTTGCCCTTCATTTCGGAAGGATAGCCTTGCCGGGTAGAGTATTCATAGCCGGCAATCTCTGTCTTTTAGTATTTTGAATATATCATCCCATTCCTTTCTGGCTTTTAGGGTTTGTGATAAAAAGTCTGATGTTAGTCTGATTGGGGCTCCCTTATAGGTGATTTGATGCTTCTCTCTTGCAGCTCTTAAGATTCCCTCTTTGTCTTTGAGTTTTGCCAATTTGACTATAACATGTTTTGGAGAAGACCTTTTGGGTTGAATACGTTTGGGGATCTTTGAGCTTCCTGGATCTGAAGATCTCTGATTTTTCCTATACCTGGGAAGTTTTCTGCCACTATTTTGTTGAATATGTTTTCAGTGCAATCTCCTTTTTCCTCCCCTTCTGGAATACCC